ATTAGTCCGGAAAAACAATTCGGCGCGCAGTTTGAAAAAGACTACAATATGGTATATATGCAAGTACATATATAGTATATATTAGTAATTCAAGATTGATCTATTTAAAAAGCAACGAAGGTCCAGCTCCGACCGTAATAGGCAGTTACATTCTAGTATTAATTGAGTTTCTCAAATATGCGGTCAAAAAATATAAATATAGTGTTAAAAATATAAATTAATAAATTGAAATGTATAAAAACTTACAATTATAAAATTAAAAGTTGTTGTGTAAATTGTATAAAACGCTCTAAGGCACATGCTGCCTCTGTGACGGTTGAAAATAGATTAAAGGAACCCGAGTAATAATATTGTGTTACGTTGAACTTAAAATAAGACAATTTAATTATTTTTGTCACACACAACACACAACAAACAACACAAAAAACACAACAACACACAACAACAGGGTCATTGTCAAGTAAGCAAAAATAGGATTTGCTTAATTTCTCTGTATCTTTTTGTGCATTTATGTCATTGTGTTGTTCTTTTATGAACAACATTTCTGAGATTAATCTCTTATTATAATGTGATTCGATATCCATAACCCTGACATTCTTCCAATCAAAGGAATGATTAAACTCAAGCATATGATTAGTTAGTACCGAATAATTGGAAGGATTTTCCCTTATATTATACTCGTGTTCCTTTACTCTAGTACTAAGTTTTCGCTTCGTTTGGCCGACATATGAAGCTTCGCAATCTTTACATGTAACCTTGTAAACTACATTATTTTTGCTCATTGTATCCGTTTTATCTTTGTGCACTTTAACGAACCTGTTTAATTTATTCATACAACGTATTCCTATAGTAAAAACATCCTTGTTTAAATTTGATATGACAGTATTTGTAATTTTTGGAATATATGGTACAACAAACAATTTTTTACCCAGTGTGTCATCAATGTTGTCATGAATATCGCAATCATCATTATTCAAATTAATTAATTTTGTAGTGTAAAGTTTGTTAATTCTTTTTTGTACTTCTCTAAACATCAAATCTATTGGATAGCCATTTTTTAAAAGAGTTTTAATGCAAAATTCTAAGTTTTTCAAATGGAATTTATGATAGAAATAACGCTCTGTCTATTAAGTTGAAAATGACACCAATTTTATGCGTAAGTGGGTGATTTGAAAAATAGGACAAATATCGTCCAAAAAATTCCTTTTTTTTATCTGCAATGGTCCACTCTGAAGGGTGAAAACTACCCCTTAAAGGTAAGGGATAGATTTAACATATTAGGTGAAATAAGTTGAAAATTTTAAAAAGTAAAATGTGTTAGGAGGTTTTTGGGGTCGCTGAAACTGAATCTTATGTCAAAAGTATGAAATTCAAAATGGTTGACCCAATATGGCGTTCAGATACATTAAAATTTTTATTAGTTTTTATCAAAATGAGTAAATTTTAAGAATTCTTGTCATCACAGAATTAAAATTTCCGATTTTTGGATCGATGATTTTAAATATGGTGATAAAGATATAAAATTCGGAATGATAGTTTCAATATAGCAGCCATATACGTTAAAATTTATAACTTTGCAAAAAATGTGTTGTTACAAGGTCCTCACCTTTCAGGATGCTTTTTTAAAGTGAGTCCCCTTGCCTTTCACCTTTCGTGGTGCTTTTTTACAGTGAGTCTCCTTGCCTCTCACCTTTCGCGGTGCTTTTTTACAGCGAGTCCCCTTGCCTCCCACCTTTCGTGATGCTTTTTTACAGTGAGTTCCCTTGCCTCTCACTTTTCGCACATTATTCTTGAAAAAATTTGCAAATGTGATAATTTGTGAAGAAATGGTTCATGCATAAAGATTTAAAATCGAAAATTTTAATTCTGTGATGACAAGAATTCCTAAATTTACTCATTTTAATAAAAATTAATAAAAATTTTAATGTATCTGAACGCCATACTGGGTCAGTCATTTTGAATTTCATACTTTTGACATAAGATTCAGCTTCAGCGACTTCACAAACATCCTAACACATTTTACTTTATAAAATTTTCAACTTATTTCACCTAATATGTTAAATCTATCCCTTACCTTTAAGGGGTAGTTTTCACCATTCAGAGTAGACCATTTCAAATAAAAGAAAATACGTCTAAAACATTTTTCAAAGTTCTACAAATATGCAAAGTTTCATTAAAATCGGTGAGTGACACCTCCGTAGGTTTACTTTAAGTCTCAAAAATAAACAAAAAATTTTTTCGAAAATCCAAAAAAATAAAATAAAAAATTGAATTCTCAAAAATTGGGAGCAGATTTGGATTCAACAACTTCGAAAATCACCGTATACCCCATTCCGTAACAAACGTACGAATACTTTGTCAAATACTGGAATTCACCCCTATACATTCATAAGGGCATTTTCTACCCTTGAAACGGCTTTTGGGCAGATATAAAAATGTGTCAAATATTTTTCAATGTACTACATGTATGCACAGTCTCAGGAAAATCGGCGTATGACACTTGGGTAGCGTTACTTGTAAGAATTATAGTGAGCTACATTGATAATCTTCTCTTTATATTATATTAGCTTCTTATTTT